ACTGGGTGCACATCGTTAATGCCAATGACCTTTCAAAGCCAACAGTTGCACAGATCTATCGAACTTGGGAAGATCCGGAGGGTCAAAAATGGATCAATGTATGCTGGTACTACCGACCTGAGCAAACGGTGCATGCCCATGACAGAAAGTTCTATGAACATGAGGTTGTAAAAACAAGTCAATATCGAGATCACCAGATTGAAGAGGTAGTCGGAAAATGTTTTGTTATGTTCTTCACAAGATACTCTAGAGGTAGACCTAAAGGTATTGGGCACCGACAGGTCTACGTTTGTGAGAGTCGATATAATGTGGTCGAGAAACATTTCAACAAAATCAAGACATGGAAAAGTTGCATCCCAGATGAGGTGCGGGGACAAGACTATGAGATAGATGCTTTTGAGAAGCAGGAAACTTTACGGAAGTTTCCGAGTCCCATTGCACATCTCCTTCCACCTAATGCAACAGAGGATGACCCACTCCCAGATGCTAAGATGGGAGCAGACAATGCACCACCGATTGTAGGGGCCGTGTTCAAGAGGCGGAAAGGATCAAATGTCTGTTCCATCCTGTAATTCCATGTCCTTGAATATTACTGTTTGTAGTCGAAGTTAACTTGGATTTCAATTCCTAACTGACATCAAACCAATTAGGATTCCCCTCCACCTGAAGCGACACCTCCACCACAGCCATCTGTGCCCGCTCACCAACCGCCTGCGCCCGCGGCAAAGTCGAAGCCAGCTAAAGCGGGAACACCCTCATCAGACTACCACGAAAACTTGTCAATGACACAAATGTACAAGCAAGCTGCCAGCCTCACCCCCGCACCCCAAACTCCAGTTTCTGCTACACCCACGCCCCAGATACTCCATCGAGCACACATGATGCAGACACCTATGGCCCCACAATATTCACAAGGACATAATACCCCACTAATGAGACAAGGGTCTGTACATCAACAATACACGCCTGGCCCAGTGCAACCCCCCCCATCACCACATATGTATCCGCAACAGCAGCATCATCATATTTCTCAACCTCATCTACAAGCCCCACCACAAATGTATCCTAATCCGCAACATTACGCGCACCAGGCACCTATGCAGCCCCAAGTGATGCACCAACCTATGCCCCATCATCCAGGAGTATATGCGAGTCCACAAGTCCAACATTCACAATATGCTCCCCCACATGCGCCGCACATGCAACAGCCATACCCACAGCAGTACCCTACCCACCACCACCATCAACCGCTACCACAATATACCCCTCAAATGGCACATCAGCACCGCGCCCCAACACAGACACCTATGCCTCAACCGCCTCCCCCCCATCCGAATGCTTACTACCCCCCACAAGTGCCCCCATCAACGTATACCCTTCCAGAATCTACCACTTCTGGAATTCCTGAATCAATTGCGGAGCAATTCTTGCGAGATGAAGAAGGAAGGATACTGTGGTTCACAGTACCTCCGTTAGAGACCCCGGCGGCGACGGCTGCCACTCAAGCGACTGTAGCAGCGGCCAGCTCTGTGAAGGCTGGTCCAAGTCACTCACTTGAGTATTTGGCACGCAGGAATGAGCTTTTAGCGAAGAAGAGAAAGAGGAGAGAAGAAAGGGAGAAAGAACTCAGGCAGGCGAAGCGGCAAAAAGAGATTGAGAAGAAGAAGGAGTTGAAAACTGTCAGGGATGCTTTGGGTAATGCCTTGAAGGCATTAGGAGGGCAGTTGCGGCTGTAGAAAGTTTCTCGGGAGGCGATTGATGTTCTTTCTTGTTTCCGTTCTTTTCTTGAAGGCGAGAGGAGGTACTTTGGCTATGAATTCGCTAGCTAGCCATGAATGCCTTTTTTTTTTGCCTGTGATATCACATTACCAGTTTGCTTAATTTTCGCTAGAGGTTTTCTCTTTCCTATTATACACCTTTGCCCATGTTGGGGGTATGTACGTCTTCACCTACTGTGACAATAATAGCAACATTCAAGCGCAGCATCGGAGTTGGTTCGCCTTGGCATGACTTTGTTTGGCGCCGAGTCACGTCTTGTAAATGTAATGAACTTCGCGTCTTCCCCTCTGCACCTTGCATTTTCATCAGACAACCAACCACACTTCCTGCTGCCCACCTTCACACAGTGGCAAATGCATCGCCCAAAGTTCGGGGCGACATCTGAGAATAAGAACTCCACTCGTCTCTACTCAAATGCGTCTGGAGAAGCCGAAATCAAACTAGTCAAGCCGTTTAAATGCCCTGGCGCTGCAGCACTAACTCCGGAACGAGCACAACCAGCTAGGAAAAAGCGGAAAGTGAATTACAATGAAGGCAGGGATGGGAAGGGTCCAAAAGACGATGAAGCATATACTGGAGAAGGGGATCGTGAGCCTCTAAAAAACAGAGATATTAATAAGTTCCCTGTGTTTGAGGTTAAAGATAAGGAAATTGTGTTTCGGAAGAAATTCGCGGTTCCTCTTATCAATAAGGACGTGGGGTATAACTCGAACAGACCTGCCCCGGCGTTGGGAATGAGGGTGGGAGCAAATTTTGTTCCGAAACCGTTGCATGATCCTGTGGGGGAGTTTGCGATTGTGTTATATGATCCTACGGTGGATGATAAACCTGCAGTGGTTGAGGAGGAGGCTAAAGAGGATGAAGCACCAAAACCGGTGTCGAAGGTTCATAAAAGTCTAGCGGATATTCTGGGGTTGAAGAAGGAGAAAGAGGAGCATCCTAAAGTGCCGGTTGTGATTGACCCCAGGCTCGCGAAGGTGCTCAGGCCGCATCAAATCGAGGGTGTGAAGTTCTTGTACAGATGTACCACTGGTCTAATCGATTCACGGGCGAATGGATGTATTATGGCGGATGAGATGGGGCTGGGGAAGACGTTGCAGTGCATCACGTTGATGTGGACTTTACTCAAGCAGTCTCCGGAAGGGGGGAAGTCGACGATTCAAAAATGCGTGATTGCGTGTCCGTCGTCATTGGTGAGGAATTGGGCGAATGAGTTAGTTAAGTGGTTAGGGAAGGATACAGTGACGCCGTTTGCGATTGATGGGAAGGGCACGAAGGCAGAACTTACAGCGCAGTTGAAGCAGTGGGCAATTTCAAGTGGAAGGAATGTAACAAGGCCGGTTCTGATTGTTTCGTATGAGACCTTGAGGCTAAATGTAGGGGAGTTGGCGGATGTTCCAATTGGCCTTCTCCTTTGTGATGAAGGCCATAGGCTGAAGAATGGGGAGAGTCAGACGTTCGTGGCGTTGAATGGGTTGAAGGTTGATAGGCGAGTCATCCTATCCGGAACACCCATTCAGGTTGGTTTATCACCCCCCTATGCACTGAGGGTTCCCATACTGACGACTTGTAGAATGATCTCTCTGAATATTTCTCCCTTCTCAACTTCGCCAACCCTAACCTCCTCGGTTCCCGTGCCGAGTTCCGAAAGAAATACGAGCTTCCCATTCTTCGCGGGCGGGATGCCAACGGAACAGATGCCGACAGGGAAAAAGGAGACGCATGTCTAACTGAGTTAGGTCAATTGGTAAACAAATTCATCATTCGCCGTACAAACGATATTCTGTCCAAATATCTTCCCGTCAAGTACGAGCATGTTGTCTTCTGCAACTTATCTCCCTTCCAGAAGGATCTCTATAATCTATTCATTACATCCCCCACTATCAAGTCTATCTTAAAAGGCAAGGGCTCTAAACCTTTAGTTGCCATTGGCCTCCTGAAGAAGCTCTGCAACCACCCCAATTTGCTAAACCTCCCCGAAGATCTACCTGGCTCTGAAGCTTACCTCCCAGACGACTTTGTCCAGAAAGATGCTAGGGGTAGGGATAGGGACGTTAAGACGTGGTATTCAGGGAAGATGTTGGTGCTAGATAGGATGCTTGCTAGAATTCGTCAAGATACCAATGACAAAATTGTCTTGATCAGCAATTATACACAGACATTAGATATCTTCGAGAAGCTTTGTCGAAGCCGAGGATATGGATCTTTGAGATTGGATGGAACGATGAATGTTAATAAACGCCAGAAATTGGTGGATAAGTTCAATGATCCTGATGGACCAGAGTTTGTGTTTTTGTTGAGTAGTAAGGCCGGTGGATGTGGGCTTAATCTCATTGGCGCGAATAGATTGGTTCTATTTGACCCAGGTTAGAATTACCCCCCAACCCAGCCACTGGCCCAGTTCTCCATATTTTTCATGCCACCAAGCAAATACTCAGCAAATACTGACTTCCTATGGCTGGATAGATTGGAACCCTGCCGCTGACCAACAAGCCCTTGCGCGAGTCTGGCGCGACGGCCAAAAAAAAGACTGCTTCGTCTACCGCTTCATTGCGACCGGCACCATCGAAGAAAAGATATTCCAGCGTCAATCCCACAAACAATCCCTCTCCTCTTGTGTCGTCGACGAAGCCCAAGACGTCGAACGGCATTTCTCAATAGACGCACTCCGGCAGCTATTTGAATTCCATCCCAACACTCTATCGGATACACATGATACGTTTAAATGTAAGCGGTGCAAAGATGGGAAACAGTTTATCAAGGCCCCGGCGATACTATATGGGGATACGAGTAGCTGGAACCATTTTACGTGTAAGGAGGGAGGTGGGATGGATAGGATTCAGGATTTGTTACTGAGACAGGAGGTGAAGGAGGGGACTGTTAGCAGTTGCTTTCAGTACATTTCACATGTGAGTATATTCCTTCTGTTGATCGGGGTTTGAGGGATTGTTTCTAATGAGTTGTGTTTGTAGTGAGACTGATCTGTGGGCTTGAGAATCCAGGTACAAGTCGGCGCACGGTGGGTGACCTTATGGAGTTTGGGTTTATTATCTCTTTTTGCTATTTGTTTATATGGAAGAGTGATACCAATCAATTATATTACTGTTTTATCTTCTGGTTTTTTGGGGGCGCAGAGGTTATAGGAGAGAAGGAAAACTTACACTGTAGACACGGGATCGGAAAGAATATCACGGAAAAAATCCCACAAAGGAAAAAGTTAGTGCGACTTTTGTGGATTGAACATAAGGCCTTCAGATGAATGACCGAAGTGGGGCTTCAGTCTGACGCTCTTCCAACTGAGCTAAAGTCGCAAGGGATAAGAAACGTACAGTAAGCGCTAAGGTCAGTGATTTACAATTACCCTGAATATCAGAATAACATCTACTTTCTGACAACCAAATCGCTACCAGTTCCCAGATCACATCTTTTGGGACTTGCCGCTCAAATCCCTTCTACTAAAAACATCACGTTATTGATTCGTATTATGGCCCACTGAGTTCAATATCCAGAAAGTCTGTCAGACCATAGGCATTTCTGTCTATTGCAAAACTGGCTTGAGTGCCCGATTCGTTGCCTACTTTTCTACGCTGAGGGGAAAGAAGGAAGGATGTGGAGGAATAGGGGGGAGTAGAATACGATGCGTTATTCTATCTATCTTGCAATTGTCCAACCCGTTTTTGCACATGGTGAATTACTAGGTATGTACCAAGTTGACACAGAGTGGTTAGCCATGTCCCACTGCCAGACTATTTCAGGCACGCCTTATACAGGTACTTTTACTTCCGTAAGGTTGTATACTGCTGGCCAATTGACTCGTATCTCGAACTTCCGCGCCTAAGATCCAGAGATCACGTTGTCATCTTTCTTGCCGGAAATCGGTCTCTGTACCTCATCTCATAAATCTTTGAACATTGATGCATCAGTATAACAAATCTGCTTAGACTCAAAAGGGATTCTTAATATTACCCCACTCTCACTGAGAAACCTTTCATCACCAAAATAGAAACAAAAGAAAACGAAAATTATGTCTGGATTTCAACCCACCACAAGACCTCAACCTGTCTTTTCAACCTCCTCGCAATGACTTTTAAACTCTCAGGGAGCCACCCCTCTCTTCCACGCCATAGTTTGCAACACCATGTGAGTGGTTCCGATCTCTGACTTCCTCCTGTCTCCTTACTGAACTCATACACTGACAAGGATCCCGAGAGCTACTTGTAATCCAAGCGGCAAGACCTGAAAATAGTTTGAGAGAGCACATTTTACGTAGACTCATAGCCCATTCCTGTTATTGCACTACTGATAACACCAAAAAACCTGTCTTTTCCTTTTTTTTTTTTTTTTTTTTTTAAAAAAAAAAAAAGGTTTATACGTCTGTGGAGCCTAAGGCTTATGATCCGGCCTCGTTAAAAGCCTCGGTTCACCCATGGAACAACTCACATTCGAAATCTAAGTACATCAAGGTTAGAAAAACGTCCCATATTCTGCAGTACCTATTCTACCCAGCTACTCCACACAATTGAATAGACTATATTATCTACAATATCTTTTGTATGCAGCTACTATAAGGTATTTCTATCAAAGAAGGCCCCATATGTAGCCCAAATTATGTAGAGGCTGCGGTCAACCACTGGATTTATGTAGCCACATGCATACCTTACCTACTCCCCACCCCTCCAACTTACGCCCCCCACCGCTAGTAAAGATAGTCAGCCTAGACTTTAAAAATCTCAAGTTAAAACAATAATCCGGCACACTTTTAATTCTCTTATTCCTCCATATATTCTCCCTAGATTAGCAAGGCGCATATATAAGCCTTCAATTGCTTGCCAAGAAATCAATCGCTCCCTGCTCTGCACTCTGAATCTTACAGCTATCGTAGCGGAAATAAATCTGAGATCATTACGTGCAGCTGATTTGGTGACTAAGCCCTGTGCAGCACATCTCTAATAATTTGGTCACGATCTTGCTAGCTAGAAATATATATTCAATCTAGATTTGCATCCTAATTGTTCTCCTGGTATTGCACGGATACCTATTCCCCGGTGACGGAATCCAAGGATCGTCATGTTTGCTCGACGGAGGAAGACTGTACCAGAAACAGTCGAGACGACACCACTATTGGCGCCACAAGAGAGCAGCGAATCCTCAAAACGAACTTCAAATATATTCAGCACCAGCAAATCCGAAGCTCCACCATCTACACCCGACTCCAACAATGACACCCAAAAGCCCAAGCCCAGACTATCCAAGCGTCGCGGCTTCTCCATGTTCACAATTGGTGGTATAGCTGGGATGTTCCTGGCCGCCTTTGTCGGAGTCAACAGGGACATTGTCAACCTCGATGCCCTGGCTGATATTAGGCTTGACGTACTAGCAGATGTTATTCCGGCTGGAATTCTCAAGGAAGCTACGGATATTTCGGTAGGTCTATATGCGGAGTACGCTTCGTTCTATCTTGGCTTCAACTCAACATACGGAGGACAGCAACGGGAAAAGGATAAGGTTCCTTATGATGCATTTTCTATGGGACTGCAATTGAAGAATGAAGGGTTGAAGGCGGAGCATCCGGTCATTATGGTAGGTGGATATAATGGTCCTTCGGTATTCAAGGGAGCGAGAAGTGCTGATTGCGGTTTGGGGTTTAGATTCCTGGGGTTATATCAACAGGGTAGAGTATGGTTCGCTGAAGGAGGATTATTCATCTTAGTCTGACGACGCGTGTTCTATAGGCTGGAGAGCTGGGGAACTGGTCCGAGCTCAAGGAAATGGTTTAGAAAGAGGCTATGGGGGAGTTGGCATATGCTTCGAGCATTAGTGGTAGATAATGCATTATGGAAACAGCATATTATGCTAGATAAGGAGACTGGATTGGATCCACCGGGAGGTAAGGGTACCTCTGCTTTAGGTATCTGGAGCATCGAATAGCTAATTCTGGCCAGTGAAAGTACGTGCTGCCCAAGGGTATGTTACGATGTTCACCTCCGGCTCTACTTGTAATCCCTGAGGTCTGACATATTTTGTGTACAGATTTGATGCCACAGACTTCTTCATAACGGGTAGGTCGCATGACAGCGGAAGTATTATTCTATTGAAGCATACTGAAACATGAATGGAGCAAGGCTACTGGATATGGAACAAGTAAGGATCTCTCTATGACTATACGGAGAGGAAACGCTAGTCTAACAATTATCTGCCCTACAGGGTACTATGGCCAAATTCAATTCCTGGCTATTTCAAACTCACCTTATTTTAGATAATAGAAAACCTAGCAACGATTGGCTATGACCCAACAAATTCCTACACAGCGGCATATGACTGGCGTTTATCATACCCAAATCTTGAGATACGAGGTTAGATTAGGCAATACCTTATAGTTGATTCTAGGCTGCTGAAAGTATAGTAGATCAATATTTCACCCGTCTCAAGGCGTACATAGAAACAGCGCACAAAATATCCGGAAAGAAGGTTGTCCTGGTCTCTCATTCAATGGGATCCCAGGTTACGTTCTTCTTCATGAAGTGGGTGGAAGCAGAGGGATACGGTGGAGGTGGAAGTGCCTGGGTAGACACCCATGTCGAGGCATTTATCAACGTGAGCCCCCACTCTAACCAGAGAACTACATAACTGCTAAATCTAATAATATTCAGGTCAGTGGATGCATGCTCGGCGCCGCTAAAGGTGTTCCCGCAGTCCTCTCCGGTGAAATGAAAGATACCGCCCAGCTAAACTCCTTTGCCGTCTACGGCCTCGAGAGATTCTTCTCTCGCGAGGAACGTGCCGAGATCCTCCGTGCTATGCCGGGTATATCTAGTATGCTCCCAAAAGGTGGCGAAGCCGTCTGGGGAAACCAGACGTGGGCTCCTGACGATGAGCCTGGGCAGCAAACGAGTTTCGGATCGTTTATCAAGTTCACCGAGGTGGCTAATGGAACGGAGCATTCCAGTAAGAATTTAACAGTGTCAGAGAGTATTGATTATTTGTTGAAGTATTCCGAGGATTGGTATAAAGATGCGGTGACAGGAAGTTATTCCCATGGAGTTGCTACTACCAGGAATGATGTTGAGGCCAACGAGAAGATTCCAAGCAAGTGGGTCAATCCGTTGGAGGTTAGATTGCCGTATGCACCGAGTATGAAGATTTATTGTTTTTATGGGATTGGAAAGCCGACAGAACGAAGGTGCATTCAATTTCCTTCTTAAGCCCCTGTCATACTAACACCCGCACAGCTACTACTACCGAGAATCCCGCGACCCGCTCTCCCGTCTCAACATCACCATCGACACCACAATCAACCACGCCTCCACTGCTGCCGACCATGGCGTCGTCGTCGGCGAAGGGGACGGCACTGTCTCCCTACTCAGCGCTGGCTACATGTGCGCCAAAGGCTGGAAAATCCAGCGCTATAACCCCTCCAATATCTCTATCAAGATCTACGAAATGCCGCATGAGCCGACTTCGTTTGATATTAGAGGGGGACCGAATACAGGTGACCATGTGGATATTCTGGGGAGACAGAGGCTGAATGAGTTGATCTTGAGAGTAGCGGCGGGGAAAGGGGAGGGAATTGAGGAGTTTGTGAAGAGTAATATTAGAGAGATTAGTGAGAGGGTGAAGATATACGAGGACCCGGAGGGGGAGGTGACGCAGTAGAATAGAATTGGGAGAGCATTGTGGATTAGGCTGAGGTGGGGAAGAGGGTGCTCTGCTACGAATTTTGCTTTGTGGGTGGCAGTGCCGTTTAATTGCGGTTGATTACTTACTGTCTTATAATTACCCTTCCTAGAACGAATTGCGGATGTTCCTGGTCTTTTTTTTGTTCTCTGGGTGCTGGTGGGAGTTCTGTGATGCTTAAGTTCTCGCACACATATATAATATATAGATATGTCTAATATGTACTGTACTGCCTTTACTACTACTACTACTACTACTACTACTACTACTACTACTACTACTACTACTACTACTACTACTAGAACAAGTAGTACAGTCCTATTCAGGAACTGTCCGGGATGCATAAAACAGAGCGCGGTTAGACAATGGGCAGGCGCGGCTATCCTGCATAAGGATAGCTTAGCCGAGATATCTGGTCAGGCAAGGAAGGAGATATTACAATCATGGTTTTTGGATGTTTTCGAGGATGCAAATAAGGTGGTTTTACAGCTTTGCTAAATGGGCGGAATAATGCAAAGACATGGGACTGTATGTACGGAACAAGTAGCATGTACGGAGAATCCCGGCCATATCAATGCCGTCAGGGTAATGCTCCCATCACCACCTGTCGCCCACCCCACCCCTCAGCAAGCACGTC